ATATATATATATATATATATATAACGTAATGAAGAACTGATAGTTTAATTTTCCCACAATGATATGTGTAGGCTTCAACTTTCCTATGAATTTCACTTAGCCTTGCTCCCGAAAGGAGATATTCTGATCTAGCATGGAGTGCATTTTTGATTTCGCCTGTGTGCCTACAGCCTCTCCATCTCTTAAAACTGAAATAAGTTTGGGGTCACTGAATTCGCCTTAGAAGTTCATTTTATCTCAGACGATCAGAAAGCATATATAACTAGCAAGCATATCTATTTTAGCATCACTTACAATAATGGATAATAGAGGAAATTTTCTAACTGCTATATTTTGCCTATCTACCATTGGTTTATATATAATTAGTTAAACTCAGTTATGTGAACTCAGTGGTGTCAATGAAAATGGGACTCTTAGTTGAATGGTGACTGCCCCATTACACCCAAGCATTTCGACTTAATTTTTTTATTTGTATATCATCTAACAAATGACTCATTTATACAGTTGGTTGACTTCGTTTAGTTTTGAAGTTATTTTCCATTGGAATGTCCTAGGAGTTTTGTGTTCGAAAAGGCAACAAATCCCCCGAAAGATTCAAAAGATTTTCTCATGGGTAAGAGGAAATAAAGGTCGGATAAAAAAATTCGTTATTTTGAATTACTAAGAGCTGACAATTATCAACACATTATTAAGGCTAATTATCATAAATAAACATGTGGATATTTGTAAGCATTAAATATTTAGAAGCATAGTTTTTATTTTGATAGTTTGAATAAAATATTTTATTTGCATGATTTGTGTTCAGGCTGGAATGGACGAGCTGCGTCGGCAGGTTCATGAGCACCGCTGCGTGGTAGCTGCTTTGGACGCCTCGCAGCATCAACGCCTCTCAAATATCCTGGCTCAGGGTGATCTACTCACAAATAATGTTCATTTAGCGGAAAAGGTGCAGAATAAGTGCCGAATGTTAGTACAGAGGTTAGTTAAATTGTAAAGAAAAGCCTTATATTTGCTCTATCCTTTGTATAACCTTTAATGGCAACAATTTTAGGACTTGTTATGCATTATATGTATACAAGAGACAAGTCATTTGGAGTAATAAATAATACTTACACTATTTTTCATTTCATAGAAACTTTAAGCATAAGCGTTCATGAGCCAATATGAAATAAAGAGTAGCTTTGAATGTATTTGGCTGCCTCGAGACAAGTCTTCTTCATCCGGATATAATAAAATCATCTTCACAAGAAATGAAAGGTGCTCCAACAGCAGAGAAACGAAGTGTTTTCATTTGGAAAAGCTGCATTTATGCTCTCCTCATCAGCAAGTGCAGGGCTAAAGAGGTTTAACTATAAAATGGATATCAATAGTTGAAAGAGCGTAAAATAGCATCAGGAAGGCCAAACGACCTATAATCAGTGTCATTCTAATCAGTAGGGCTTGACATATTTTTCGTTTTAAAAAATCTTTCATATATATGATAGATATAGGATCTGTGTTCACCCTAGTTCATTCAAAGTGATGAAGAACTGGTAGTTGAATTTTCTCACAATGATAGGAATGGAGCTGACGTTTCACATAGCCTTGCTTCCCAAAAGGTACTAGCATCCAGAGTAAACTGCAGTCTCGACCTCAGCTAGGTCTTATTACCAGCCATGGCACTGCAGCATATACTATTTACACGTTAGCCACTACGCCACATTGCCAAGAGTGCCTTTGAATCAGAGGGCAGATGTAAAGTTCAAGAAAATACAGGCATTTTCCCATATCACATTCTATGGTGGGATTATCGATAGAGCAAATTTATATTTGCTATAGCAATCGACGAAACTATTTATTTTTCGTTTTGAGTAGGTTTTAAAGACTACCAGCAAATCAGATACATGAACTGAATTCACCGTATTTCGTTTAATGTGATGAAGGTGATGAAATTCAATGAAAATATTATGTCTACATATATAATTGTGTGAAAATTAAACTACTTGTCCTTCATCACTTCGAATGAAATAGGGTGAACACAGCTCATATATCTGATTAACTGGGAGTCTCGAAAACCCACTTAAAACAAAAAATAAGTAATGTCGTTGATTACTATAGCAAATATAAGTTTACTTCATTGACAATCCCACCACAGAATGTGCTATGGGAAGGTGTCTGACCTTCC